TATGTGGGAGTGATCACTTCCCCACCATTCTCAAAGCGGTCAACCCTGGTGATGATCCACCTTTATCACGACGGAATTTTGCCAGGGCTAACTGGTCATTGTATCAGACACTATGTACTGATCACTTAAAACATGACATTTTTGCGAACAGCGAAGATCCTATACAGTTATTTTCAGATATACTGAACAACATTGCTGACCAAACTGTACCAAAGTCCTCTGCAATTCCACACCTTCGTAAGCCATGGTTCAATAATGACTGTAAACAGGCCAGAAAGTGTAGGAAGAAAGCTGAAAAGTATTTTCGCCGACATCCTACTGTCCATAATCTAGACAAAGTTAAAATTTTAAATGCTAAGGCTAGACGTGCTTTTAAACAAAATAAGCGTCAGTCTTGGCGAACTTATGTTTCTAAAATAAATTCACGCACACCTATGTCAAAGGTGTGGAACATGATTCAGAGAATAAAGGGCAAAGGTTCCAAATCTACTGTTCACCATCTGAAGGATGGTGATAATTTATTAACTGATAAAACTGATATTGCCAATAAACTTGGTGAAACTCTCGCCAAGCACTCATCTTCATCCACTATGTCCCTGAGTTTCAAAACTTTCAGAAACAACAGGAGAAGAAAAGGTTACATTTTAACTCAGACAATGGTGAAGATTATAATGAATTATTTTCACTACATGAGCTACATACCGCCCTTGAGCAAGCTCATGATACAGCAACAGGGGCTGACGATATCCACTATCAGCTCCTGAAGCATTTGCCCGAACCATGTTTGGAAACATTGTTAAATATTTTTGATTCAATATGGACTTCAGGGAATTTCCCAACTTCATGGCGTAATGCCATTGTCGTCCCCATTCCAAAACCCGGCCGGGATCATACTGATCCATCAAATTACAGACCAGTTTCTTTAACGAGTTGTGTCTGTAAAACCATGGAACGAATGGTAAATAATAAACTGACATGGTATCTTGAAACCAATAATCTCATAACAAATATTCAATGTGGTTTCAGGAAAAATCGTAGTACCATTGATCATTTGGTACGTTTAGACTCCTTTGTCAAAAATGCAATAGTCAATAAACAACATGCAGTATCGCTATTCTTTGATCTCGAGAAAGCGTACGATACCACCTGGAAGCATGGCATTTTAAAGGATTTACATGATTTTGGTTTAAGGGGTCGTTTACCTCTTTTTATATCACAGTTTTTAAAAGACAGGCAATTTCAAGTCCGAGTGGGTTCAACCCTGTCTGACCATTACAATCAGGATCAGGGTGTCCCACAAGGCAGTATTTTGTCTGTCACTTTATTTAGCATTAAGATCAACAGTTTATCCACGGTTATAAACGATTCAATTGATGGATCACTTTTTGTGGATGATTTTAACATTTCTTGTCGCGGTAAGAATATGCATACTATTGAACGGCAACTACAGTTGTGTTTAAATAAAATACATAAATGGTGTCTTGAAAACGGCTTTAAATTTTCTAAATCAAAAACTAATTGCATACACTTCTGCCGTAAATATAAACCACATAAAGACCCAAAACTGTTTTTAAATGGTACTCCCATCAAGGTTGTAAAAGAGGCCAAGTTCTTAGGTCTCATTTTCGACTCCCATTTAACTTTTCTTCCGCATATCAAATCTCTCAAAACTAAATGCCTGAAGGCACTTGATTTATTGAAAGTCGTGTCTAATTCAAGGTGGGGAGGGGATCAAGCTACGCTCCTACACCTTTACAGATCACTTGTCCGCTCGAAGCTTGATTATGGCTCCATCGTTTATGGTGGAGCCTGCAAAAGCAACCTAAAACTCTTAGATTCAGTCCACCATCAAGGTCTGAGACTTTGTCTTGGGTCCTTCAGAACATCTCCTGTTGACAGTCTCTACGTCGAGGCAGATGAGCCTTCTCTTACCCAACGCCGTATAAAATTATCATTACAGTATATTACGAAGCTATATTCTAACGAGTCTAATCCTGCGTTTCACTGCATCTTCACTCCTCTTTATGAGGATTTGTATAACAAAAAGCCTTCTCTTGTTCCGCCTCTTGGGCACAGAATTAAACCATTCCTTTCTGCTGCCGGCATTGAGCTGGAAAATATATCTCCTTCTCGTCTTTTTTCTTCTCCTCCTTGGCAATTGGTGAGGCCAGACGTTGACTTAACATTAACCACATTTAAAAAATCCGAAACTAATGATTTAAAGTATAAACAAGAATTTAGTCAATTAAGAAATAAATATAATAACTATAAATCCTTATATACAGATGGATCCAAGGATGGTGGCGCGGTTGCTTGTGCCACTGTCATTGGGTCCAAAACAATATCTTCCAGACTACCCAATGACAGTTCAATTTTCACAGCAGAAGCAAACGCAATACTAACAGCTCTTAAATATATTAATAAACACCGTAAATATAAACAATATATCATCTTTTCAGATTCTCTTTCGTGTCTTCAGGCTATTAAAAATCTTTCTTGCAAACATCCACTTTCATTAGAAATTATTGAATTGTATAATGAGCTTGCTACTGGCCAATGCGACATCGTCTTTTGTTGGTTACCCAGCCACGTTGGCATTTCTGGGAACACGATGGCTGATATTGCTGCTAAGGCTGCACTCAACAAATCTGTGACACCACTTCTGCTCCCATACTGTGATTACAAAGCTTGCATTAGATCTTACATCCATGATCTGATGCAAAAGAAGTGGGACACCCAAGTAGGTATCAATAAATTACATGCAATAAAACCCTATATCGGGTACACTTACTTGGGTTGTCAGTCCAGATTTGAAGAGGTCATTATACGACGATGTCGTATTGGCCACACAAGATATACGCATGAGTACCTATTGAAAGGTGAGGATCCTCCGTTTTGTATCCCTTGTGATGAACGAATCACGGTCAAGCATGTCTTGCTTGACTGTGTTGAATATTCCATCACAAGGGATATTTATTTCAAAGTAAAAACTATGAAGGATCTTTTTAGTCATATAAGTTCTCATTTAATTATTGCCTTTTTAAAAAAATTAGACTTGCTAACTGATTTGTAAATAGATATATATTTTATTATTGGTAGTTTAAATTAGTAAATGATATTGTTAGTGGCTGTACCCTCAAAGGGGGTTGAAGTAGCGTAAAATTATTGTCCTCCTGAGAGGGTACGTAAGTCCCAAAACATTTAGTCAATTTAAGTGTACCAGGTTTTTAATCGTAGAATATGTGTACTTTTAATTTATGGTTAGGTTTTCTTCTGTCGCCAATGGCTGAAGGGATGGTGTAAATCCAGCTAGGGTCCATGCAGGAAGCAAATGTACTGTAAGTCCCCATGGTGATAGTGTGGTGATCTACCTTCAGTTGTTGGCGATCAATAGCCTGTTTTTATATTGTATCGTCTTGTATAGTTCAAATGTTTTAGATTTAGTTACTAGTTTTATATCTATATCTGTGATAATTTAGTTATTTTACTATCCTTCGTCGGCAGAATTCTATAATTTCACTTAAATTGTTGATATATTTATAACTTGCTTTAGTCACGATATGGCTGAAATATTGCCGATGTGACTTAAAATCTTAACTCACTCACTCACTCTCTGTCTCTCTCTGTCTCTCTCTCTCTGTCTCTCTGTGTCTCTCTCTCTGTCTCTCTGTGTCTCTCTCTCTCTGTCTCTCTGTGTCTCTCTCTCTGTCTCTCTCTCTCTGTCTCTCTGTGTCTCTCTCTCTGTCTCTCTCTGTCTGTATCTCTCTCTGTCTCTCTCTCTGTCTCTCTCTGTCTGTCTCTCTCTGTCTGTCTCTCTCTGTGTCTCTCTGTCTGTCTCTCTCTGTGTCTCTCTCTGTGTCTCTCTCTATCTATCTCTCTGTCTCTCTCTGTGTGTCTCTCTCTGTCTCTCTCTCTGTCTCTCTCTGTGTCTCTCTCTCTGTCTCTCTCTCTCTCTCTGTATGTCTCTGTCTCTCTCTGTGTGTCTCTCTCTGTCTCTCTCTCTTTGTCTTTCTCTGTCTCTCTCTGTCCCTCTCTGTCTCTCTCTCTCTCTCTCTCTCCCTCTCTCAAAACAAAATAGTGTGAAACAACACATCATAATTAGAAATTTCAAAGGCAGAACAATTGCAAGGGTAGTATACCATATTAGCCAAGGAAATGGTAATGTTCTATACTGAGCCAGACATCACTACGTACATGTAACACATCAGGTCTTTGGTGACATTTAGAAGGATACACATCAGGAAGAGTTTTATCGATGTCAACTTCTTTATTATCAGGAACACAACGTTTCTTACTCCTTCATCAAGTGAATGAATGATATGAGGCAGAGAGTATATAACTGTACACGTCGGTATAAACACTACATGTATCAATTTACAACACTCACACTAAACAGAAATTTTGATAAAATAGGGGCCGGGTAACCCAGTGGTTAAAGTGTTCGTTCGTCACGACGAAGACCCGGGTTCGATTCCCAACAAATGACAAAGTGTGGAATAATGTGAAAAGCAGCGTAAAAGTGCAACTAAATTTTGTAAAACAATTGTTCATCAAAGTCACTTATAGAAAAAGTGATTCAAAAGCATTACAACTCAAAATATCAATATTTTACATGATTTTGGACCACATAGTGTTATTGAGACAATATATCTGAATATAAAGTAGAAGTAATGGCTGCTTACATTACATTACATTCCAATAGAGTATGGTTTTATATCGCTTTTAGCTTTTTAGCAATATCAAGTCGGGGGACACAAGAAATGGACTTCACACATTGTACCCATGTAAGGAATCAAACCGGGGTCTTCGGCGTGACAAGAGAACATTTTAACCACTAGGCTACCCAACCAACACTCGTTATATTACAAGTTGTGTCTTTCTACAACAGGCATGATTCGTCACGTTCACATCAAAAGTCAAATGTTCCTACAGTGCATCACATCATATCTATCAAGGTAACATATATCTATATTTAACATACAGAAAGAGATTGTGACATGTTCACTCACTTACAGCATGTAAATACCTTCACTTCATTGTCTTTACACAAGTACATACGACCACGCCCACCAACACACAGTCCCCATGGACTCTTGACACCATCCTGTGATGTCAGTATGTTTCTGACAAACTGTCCTGACTCTGTCAGATGGATGACTCTGTGTTTTGAGAAGTCTGTCACCAGGATGTCGCCTGTGCTGGTACTTGTGATACCACGTGGGTACTTCAATGCTGTGTCTCCTGTAGGTCTGTAGTTGAACACCACATCACCCTCGGGGGTCAGACACACGACACACTTGGTTCCACCGTCAGACACCAGGATGTTTCCCGTCCTCGTGGTACAGAGGGAGTAGGGAGACTTTAAGATGTCTCCACTTCTGTGACCAGAACAAACTGACTTCAGCACGTGTCCCGACATATCCAGGATATCAACACAGGGAGGGGAGTGGGAACCTGCTGCTAGTGTTGATGGTGTCAGAGACGTTATACCCCAGTACTGTTTGCTGGTTGTGATGGTCGAGAGCAGCACCAGGTCAGGGTTCACTTCAACTGTTACAATCTGACTGGTATACGGCACAGTGACAGCCACCTGGTTGTGTTTCAGCCTTGTTATACCATAGGGTCTACCTTCCAGACTGAGCTTGCTGTGACCTGGCTGACTGTTCCTGGTGTAGAAGGACTTTACACTGTTGTTGTTGTAGTCTGTAACTACCACTGTGTCTGTACCATTCACCTCTAGCATTGTTACGTCATAGGGGTCTCCCCTACCTGCATCTCCTGCTACAGTCACATCAATGGTGTCCTGTAACACAGGAGCAGCCTTCAGGTCCAGCACATCGTCATACTGGACGTGTATCTCACCCAGATGGAGATCTTCCAGTGCTCTACTCAGCTTGTCAGTGTCCTGTCTGAATGTTATCCTGTCTATTCTTCCCTTCTCATTCACGTCTAAGACTCCGACAGCCTCCACATCACCGGCCTCACATCCCTGATACATCTCATACACATCCATGTCACACTCAGATTGTAGAGCCTGGTCTATCAGCTCAGCCTGTTGTTGGTACATCTGTACTGACATCTCACCCGACTTTACGTCTGCTTTCAGTTGCCCAATGTGTCTGTCAGACAGCTCTTTCAATTCAGACAGAAGTTTCCGTTCCTTGGCTTTGATCATCTGTATTGCTTTGAGACTTGCAGACTTGATACTTGATTCTATTTGTATATATAGCGCCAATTCTTCTTTGACAATGAAGTTTTGTTTTCCAACATATGTTTTCATCTCATCGTGTTTCTTTAACAAATTCTGTTTATTCCTTTTCAGCTCGGTTTTCATTGCAGGAATCTCTGACTCAATTTCAACAATCATCTCACATTTCCTGTGATGGATAGTGCAGCATGTTTGACAAACACCTGTTTTACAATCTTTGCAAAGATATTTCAGATTCTCGTCCTTGTGAGTTTTACACATGACCTTTCTCTTGACCTTGACCTTTGTCTCTCCAGACAGGTCAACTACGTCATGGTGACGGAAGGAGGGGATTCGTTGGTGCATCCTTGTACATTGTTCACATAGTGCGTCGTCACAAACAGAACACCAAGATGTAGCTGGAGTTGTCTCCCCATCCTCCTTACAATAACTGCAGTTAGTTGTATCTGAAATAACCATTCATTCATGTGGTGACATTAACCTGGTGACATCACAATGTATTAAAGGGCTAGATGTGGTGATAAAAACATGGTGACATCACAATGTATTATAGGTCTGGATGTGAGGATATCAACCTGGTGACATCGAAATGTATTATAGGGCTAGATATGGTGATATTAACCTGGAGACGTCAGAATGTATTATAGGGCTAGATGTGGTGATATTAACCTGGTGACATCACAATGTATTACAGGGCTAGATATTGTGATATAAACCTGGTGACATCACAATCTATTATAGGGCTAGATGTGGTGATATTAACCTGGTGACATCACAATGTATTATATGGCTAGATGTGGTGATATTAACCTGGTGACATCACAATGTATTATATGGCTAGATGTGGTGATATTAACCTTGTGACATCACAATGTATTATAGGGCTAAATATGGTGATATTAACCTTGTGAAATCACATTGTATTATAGGGCTAGATGTTGTGATATTAACCTGGTGACATCACAATGTCTTATAGGACTAGATGTGGGGATATTAACCAGGTGACATCACATCGTATTATAAGGCTAGATGTGGTGATATTAACCTGGTGACATCACAATGTATTATAGTGCTAGATGTGATGATATTAACTTGGTGACATCACAATGTATTATGGGGCTAGATGTGGGGATATTAACCTGGTGACATCACAATGTATTATAGGGCTAGATGTGGAGATATTAACCTAGTGACCTCACATTGTATTATAGGGCTAGATATGGTGATATTAACCTGGTGACGTCAGAATGTATTATAGGGCTAGATGTGGTGATATTAACCTGGTGACATCACAATGTATTATAGGGCTAGATATGGTGATATAAACCTGGTGACATCACAATCTATTATAGGGATACATGTGGTGATATTAACCTGGTGACATCACAATGTATTATAGGGCTGGATGTGGTGATATTAACCTGGTAACATCACAATGTATTATAGGGCTAGATGTGGTGATATTAACCTGGTGACATCACAATGTATTATATGGCTAAATATGGTGATATTAACCTTGTGAAATCACAATGTATGATAGGGCTAGATGTTGTGATATTAACCTGGTGACATCACATTGTATTATAGGGCTAGATATGGTGATATTAACCTGGTGACGTCAGAATGTATTATAGGGCTAGATGTGGTGATATTAACCTGGTGACATCACAATGTATTATAGGGCTAGATATGGTGATATAAACCTGGTGACATCACAATCTATTATAGGGATACATGTGGTGATATTAACCTGGTGACATCACAATGTATTATAGGGCTGGATGTGGTGATATTAACCTGGTAACATCACAATGTATTATAGGGCTAGATGTGGTGATATTAACCTGGTGACATCACAATGTATTATATGGCTAAATATGGTGATATTAACCTTGTGAAATCACAATGTATGATAGGGCTAGATGTTGTGATATTAACCTGGTGACATCACAATGTATTATAGGGTTGGATGTGTCTCATCATGTTCCTACTTGACACATGTGAGAAAATGTATCGGAAACATCGGAACACCGATGTCGCACCGTAAACGTTGTTGTACGGATCATGAATAAGGTTTATATATGTCTTTTGTCATGTCACCTGATAAGCTGTGTCTTGCTCGTTGAACACATATCTACAATGAATGTTCACATTCCTCACAAACAGATTGTTACATACACCAAACTATACTAGTATATACATAGCAGGGGTCATACAGTGTTCATAACATCACAAACATTTATACTGCTTAAATCGATTATCCTGTTACTTGCTTGCAAACAACACGTATATTGCTACAACCTACAACTATTCACCTTTAGATCCGGGGCCAAACGAGTTCAACAGTCCCTGGATGACGAAGCTCGGCTTGACGTCATCCGCCCACTCCTCCACCGGTCTCTCGGGGTTAGACACTTTCGTCATCTTCCTGCAGAATGGACACAGGAGAGACTTGGCACTGATGGCTTCTGGTCTGGTTTTGGTGTAGTTGACGACACATTTCCGACAGAAGGTGTGATTACACACAAGTGTACAGGGCTTGTCAAACACCTCTGTACATATGGTGCATGTCAGGAAGTGTTCTGTCAACTTCTGGGAGGTCGCCATCTCTCCTACCAAAAGTCAGGAGACACGACATAAACATTCTATCCACTATACAAACCACAACATTCATTACACAAACACTAACCATATTTGTAGTCCCGATTTACTGACAGGTCTAAAAGAACTATGTCTAGTAAATCCTGCTCTTGGAATTATGAACGAATGAAAACATATTCCAGATGTATGTAGATCCTATAATCAATGAGAGATAACATTGGTAGACGGGTTGTAACTGGGCCGTCTGTATTGTGTGTGTATGATGTGTGTGTGTGTAGGTCGCTCTGTCTTGCTTGTCATAAATAAGACATAGAACAGCCATTCCCTCACATATTTCACGTTATACACAAACAATCTTGTATTTTAGAAGCGTTAGAAACTGGGTATTGGATGAATGGAAGTGACCGTCTGTTGGTTTGTTTCTGTCCGTCTTGTAGATTCTTTCTTTGGCCTGATATTGATACTGGATACATTTTCATACGTAAAACACAGAACATACATTCCCTCAGATATTTCACGGTTTACACAAACAAAATTCTCTCTTTTGCCTGACATACTGGAACCGTTGAGCCACAATACGAAAGTTTATGAGCAGTTGTGGTGCATTTGTACTGGTTTCTGAACTTTGTTAAATTTAGAATGCAAATGTTAATTACAGCTCATTTCTTTGTTGTTGTTTTTGTTGGTTTCAAAGCTTATTCTTTTACGGAATTAATTCATAATTTAGTTCAGGTGTTTACTTCACGAAACACTGCCATGAAAGTCAGGCGGTCGGTCCCTCGGGCTGTTGTATGGGTTGTGCTATTGTGCTATAGGAATATGTTATCTTTTGAGGTTCACAAGCATTACTACATGACATTGTATAGTATAACAGACTGGGCATGTTTTGGTGTCACGGAGCACCATGAAACAGTGACCTGTCTGTGAGCAGCTCGTCAATGGATCTTTGCAACTCGTCGTCACCAGCTTTACAACATGCAGTTATGAACCGTGTGCAGCATGTCAATCACCTGACAGAGTTACATGGCGACACCCGCTCATTACCATATCGAAAGTAGATGACGTTAAGTTCGGGTTTCTCTTTATTAGATGTAAAATATTGTGGTCATGTAGAAGTATTTTACCATATTTTGTGCTGTAGCATTTATCTGAGATCAATTCAGTAACAACTTTAGCAAACACACATTATATACATACATCCACATACATCGGGACAGATCTCGGTATTGAAGTCACGGGGCTGATCAAGGAAGTAATGAAAGTAGACACTTCATACACCATGCTCAGTCTAAATATTGCAGTATATTAGGTGCCCAGATTTGAGAATGTGCCTGGAGATGACCTAACAGTTAGATGAACCATTGTAGTGTTACCTGTACACAGTAGGACAGGTGTGTAGCGTACTGGAATAGACGCAGCCCCTGTGACAACACACTTACCCGAGACAGCCAGGTGACCGGTGTAGAAGGAACTGAGCACCAGGCGAGATAGACCCTAGGTAACCGGTGTAGAGGGAAACTGAGAACAGGAAGATATACCGTACAGGGTTGACGTGGTTCATTCGTGATCAACTCGTCATTCAGGGACAGTTTGCATGTTACGGAAAGGGACGAGTGATGTCGAATGAGTGATGGTGTTTTGAAATCGTCTTGAATGCGCAGGGTCACGATTCAAGATTTATTGTCGCAGTCTTATAGCTGTGATAGTGTTAAGATTAGAAAATTCAGTAACCTGTGATATAGCTGGATGACTGCATAACTTCAATCACTCACTCACTCACTCACTCACCCAGGAATAAGTCACACCGTTATCCTTTTGTTGGTCTGCTACACCCTACACGTTCACAAAGCACATGTTGTCTGTTGGTTTGGACTTGAATATGGAAACTGTTGTACCTTCGACAACATGAACATTCATGTTGACTCGTCTGCTCGTCAGACGGAAGACCCGGGTTTGATTCCCCACATGGACCAAATGTGTGAAGCCCATTTAGGTGTCCCACCGTGATACTGCTAAAAGCGGTGTTAAGACACTCCCTAACTTTTCTGAGGTAGGTCAAGACTTCAGATTGTTTGTACTGACGTTAAATATAAAAGAGTAAATACTGAAGTATACCGGACGAGAAGTGTGTTGTGCGGGTATCAGTGAAGGCGACCGGAGACCGTCAGAACTCCTGGACATGACACCGGCTTGTTGACGCTCAAGATTACTGAATGATGTCGGTACAGTCACAGACTTGTGTACAGATTGGTCAAGACTTGCATGTGGTTAACATCAGTCACGAACCGTATGCTTCATTCCCCATGGGATTCTGGTTTTCAAGGATCAAGGAACATCTGCCTGTTGTCCATGGGGACTATATGAATAGGTTCCGTCCCTAGGAAGAATAATTGTTGTCATGCACCGGCTGCTTGGAAGCTGCTACAATAGCAATCACTCGTTTATCCGGCCAACACTCGACTATATACAAACTACCGCCATCAACATGTGTCTGGAAACTGAGTCCTGCGTTGACCATCAAGTGGGCGTGAACACTGTTTACGAGGGGCTATCAAAATGTTGGAGTCTGAAATTATTCTGATATGCGCATGATAAAAATGACTGTATGATACTGAAGAAAGGTTTATATCATTCACATAAACGTAATATTGACATGCACATGTCGTTAGTTTCCGGTTACGTGACATCTAACCACATGTACCTCTATTGAAAGTGCAGAAATGAATAAGCTTGAGTACAGAGTATTCATAAAGTGTTTGGCCCTCAAGGGCCATACGGCGAAGCACATTGCTGAGCAGACCCGTGAAGGTCCGGGTTAGAATATTGATCTTCAGTAACCCATGCTTGTCGTTAGAAGCGACTTACGGGATCGGATGGTCAGGCTAACTTGGTTGACACATGTCATCGGTTTCTTAATTGCGCAGATCGATGGTCATGCTGTTAATCACTGGATTGTCTGGTCCAGAGTCGAATATTTACACACCGCCGCCATATAGCTGGAATATTGCTGAGTGCGGCGTAAAACTAAACTCACTCACTCACATTGCTGAGCGATTGACATGGGACTCAGTACTCCAACTGCTGTTGATCGCTCTTGAATGTGCCCCTCGTATGTCTGTTTACAACACACGAGAACAGCTCAAGTGGTGATACACTATTCAGGCGTTCGCGGGGCGGTGGGGTAGCCCGGTGGTTAAAGCTTTGGTTCGTCACGCCGAATACCCGGGTTCGAATCCCCACATTGGTACAATGTGTGAAGCCCATTTCTGGTGTCCCCCACCGTGATATTGCTGGAATATTGCTAAAAGCGGCATAAAACCAAGCTCAGTCAGTCAGTCAGGCGTTCGCTGTTATTGCTATATATAAATACCTCATCACGATTTATCTCCCTTACACCACTCAGTTGTCAAAACAATTCAGTAACAGGTGTTGATCGCGTTGAAAAGAGGGAAGCTCAGACGTACGTCATTTGACCGTACACACAACTCTCTCATGTGGGGATATCTACATCTGTAGTCTACCTGCTCTACATCTGTAGTCTGCCTGCTCAACTTCTGTGGTCTACCTGCTCTTCATCTGTAGTCTACCTGCTCTACATCTGTAGTCTGCCTGCTCAACGTCTGTGGTCTACCTGCTCTACATCTGTAGTCTACCTGCTCTACATCTGTAGTCTACCTGCTCTACATCTGTAGTCTGCCTGCTCAACTTCTGTGGTCTACCTGCTCTACATCTGTAGTCTTCCTGCTCTACATCTGTAGTCTACCTGCTCTACATCTGTAGTCTACCTCCTCTACATCTGTTGTCTGCCTGCTCTACATCTGTTGTCTACATCTGCAGTCTACCTGCTCTACACCTGTAGTCTGCCTGCTCTACATCTGTAGTCTACCTGCTCTACATCTGTATTCTACCTGCTCTACATCTGTAGTCTACCTGCTCTACATCTGTAGTCTACCTGCTCTACATCTGTAGTCTGCCTGCTCTACATCTGTATTCTACCTGCTCTACATCTGTAGTCTACCTGCTCTACGTCTGTATTCTACCTGTTCTACACCTGTAGTCTACCTGCTCTACATCTGTAGTCTCCCTGCTCTACATCTGTATTCTACCTGCTCTACACCTGTAGTCTACCTGCTCTACATCTGTAGTCTCCCTGCTCTACATCTGTATTCTACCTGCTCTACATCTGTAGGCTACCTGCTCTACATCTGTAGTCTACCTCTGTAGTCTACCTGCTCTACATCTGTAGTCTACCTGGCACCCATGAAAGGCCACCTCCTCGTGGTGGGTGCTGGGTCACGCTAAGCGCCTTTCAACCCCCCGTTGTGGACCCGGGGGGGATATTTTGGTCCACCAACCCGTTTGCCGTGGGTTGCGCCCCTGTGTCGGTGGAGGAAGGTAGTCTGGTGGTTGAGGGCACTGGTTCCAGGAACAGTGTTCCTTTGCCCAACACACCACTTCGGCCCTGACTTCACCTAGACGGGTGGTAGAACTGGCCCGGTTCTATCAATCGGCTGGTCACGCCAAGCCCTGTGCATGGTAAGTATTTTGGCACACTTTTGACTTTCGAAATTTTATTGTTTGGTCTTGGCAATTTCCTATTTGCTAAAAGCACAAGTTATTACTTTTGTAATTTGCCTAGAGTCCTATGCCAGAAGGCGGTGGCTCATGGGCCAATCTGGTAGGATCTATCTTTTCAAGGTATTTTCCTGCTTGAGTATACTCTCCTAGTATCCTTGGTGCCGTCTGTAGGAGATCCACAGACATGCGGCATCGTCCTCGTTGATACTCCATGGTGGGTGGGGAGCTAGGAGAGTGAATCATATTCAATACAATCATGGCACCACCACTTAAAAAACGTTCACATGAATCAGATGATTCATTCTCGTCGGAGGACGAGGCTGCTACAGCTCTCACAAATCCTGCAAATTGGTCTCGCTTTCTTGTAATGTCTGATCCAAATGATGGTCCCCTTAAATTGAATCCTTTTGCTATTGCGAAGGCATAGAAGGTT